CTACAATTATTACTGCTGCTACTACACTATAGCTACTACACAACTGCTACTACTACACTATTACTGCTGCTACTACACTATAGCTACTACTACACTATTACAGCTACTACTACCCTATTACACTCCTGCTACTACCACACTGCTGTAGCTACCACTGGTCCTGGTGCTGCTGTTGACACGCCTGACCTCTGTTCTACAGCTGCTGCTGTTCCTTACCTTCTAAAAGAGTTCATTCAAGTGCAGCTGTCCCTCTGCTTTTACTGTCACTTATCAGACCCACAGCAGTGTGTATGGTGATATCAATATGGTCGTTTATTGTTTTTTTTTAAATATCTTAAGTTCGTGCTCTCAGCTTGGCCTTCGGGTAGAAGCTGTGAGGGAGGGCAGCACCGCACTCACTGCTGTAACGATGACGACGACGATGAGAAACGCCAGCGGCCCGATCACACTAAAACCTCGGTGTATCCTGAGAAGAGACGGAACGGAATGAAGTCTCGCCTGTCCGCTAGGGGGAGAGAGCTGGAGGACACGGGCCGGGGGCCGGGAGGACAGAAAACTCTCGCTTCGAGCTCCGCGGCATTTAATTAAGCTGCGCAGCAACCGTTGCTAAGTGACCCAGCGCCTCCAGCCTCGCCGCGCTTCCCCGCATGACGTCACCAGTGCCTTCCGGAGTAGGAAGTGTCTCGTTCTACAGCGGTCGTGACGTGCTGACCGGTCCAGTCGGCGCCTCACAGCCTGCGCTAGTGGGGAAATCAACTCACTACTCCCGACAGGACAGATTCCCCGCTCAGGCCATTCGGGTCTGGAATCAGGTGTTCTTTTTTGTCTTAGAAATCTGGGAGACTGGCTTCTTTAGAATTGATCAAATGTTTCGTTGCCAAACCCCCAAGTAAACAACATTTAACGGAACCCATTGGAGTTTAAGGGAACCGGGCGTGACTCTCCCAGTACAGCAGACGTCTGGACACCGCGAATTTAAATTAATCAGTTTCCAGCGCGACACGTCCGACTCCAGCGGACACGCGGTCACCCGTCGACAGCGCTCTGTCTGCTGAATGTATTGACCCCTCAAGCCCCCTGCCCTGCACTGGGCTAGCGTAGACCCCAGTGAGCGCCTCCATAGTAAGACACCTTCCCTGAGCCGGAAATACCACCTTCAGCTGGGTACAGTGCTGAGGACACCTCAGGGCCACAGGTGTTACCATGACAAAGTTAGTTAGACCCACCGTAAAATTAAAAAAAGGCGGATTGTCAGCACAGTGCCTGGCATTACTGCCTCACAGCACTGGGGCTCCGGGTTCAATTCCTGGGGAGCCATCT